GCTGCGCAGAACAGGTTCTTTCACTTACCACATTTATTGAGGCAGAGTTCCAGAGAAAACTTAAAACTGCAGCCGCATTCATAGAACAGCAGCTTACGATACAGTTTGGAAAGAAGGCAATCTCCTGTAAATCCATCGCTTGAATAATCAAGAGCATGCTAGCCGACCGAACGATTCAAGCAGTCATGGGAACCGACATCGGCACCCAAGTAAACTGAAGGATGGACTGTCTCAGGAATCTGTCCTAGCTTCTCTTCTCTTTAGCCTGTACATCGCTGATGTACCAGAAACCAGACAAAGGAAGTTTGTAAGGAAGGTTTAAGTCATTTGAAGAAACACAACAAATCCTCACGGCGGACTTACATACAGTGGGAAAGTATTTCCGTAAATGGAGGCTCCAACCAAACGCTACCAAAACAGATGTTTCTAGTTTTCACCTAAATAACAAGCTGGCAGGAAGAACACTCAACATCCAATTCGAAAACACCACACTCGCCTACAATAAAACATCAAAGTACCTTGGTGTGACTCTTGACAGAACCCTATCGTTTAAGGAACATCTGTCAAAAACAGCGGAAAAACTTAAATTCAGAAACAACATCATCCAGAAGCTGTGTGTGTGGCATAACATGGGGAGCATCGGCTTCCACCTTGCAATCATCTGCCTATATGCCACATATACCCAAAGTAGCTGCCCAATTGAACGAGAATGATTGCTGGTGTTATCAAATTCACCCCTACGCAATGGCTCCCACTACTGTCACATATTAAGGCATACTCTTAAACTAAAACAAAAACAAAACAAGAAAAAAAGGAAATGGAGAAAAATAGTTAAAAAATCGAAACTTAAGTTTAATGTCAATTTAATTTCATATTTTAATTTGAATATTTAAAAAATCTTGTTGGAAAAACCTTCAATCGAGACACCTGACAAATGGACTTCATCACAGCAATGACTTTCTAACATTTGAAAAGTAGAACTGTCATTAAAGACCGATATATACTTTTATAGAATAAATAAGTAATGATATGACTGACGTACAGGAGCGATTTGATAGAAAACAAAAGTGTGTAGCAGTTTCTATTGATTGATATATAATTATTACTTACGATCCAACACGCACAAAAAATGTTTTGGTACAAATTAGCTCTGTTTTTAAATAAATTTAAATGTATTGGTTATGATAACATCTTTGAATTGTTTACTTTTTAACATCTCTTATTGCGTGTTGTTATAATTTGAAAGATATTTATCTGTCACTTGGTTTTTAAATATTTTCTTAAAGCATGTAAAATTATTAATTACCAAAATAAACAAACAATAGATAAAGGAGTGTTGCCAGGAGAATGTTTCATTTTCCTGGCCTGTGGTTTCGAAGAACTTCAAAATAAGAAAGTTACAGTTTCACTGTCCTGTAGAGAAGCAAATCTAGTAGCAAAGTTTTTTTACAACAAGAACAGTTTTTTAAATTAGTACAAGCTTACAGAATTTACGACTTCAAGGAATACGCGCAACCTTTTTTAGCGTGAAGCTAAAAAAAGTCTTAATACAGTATACAAAATATATAAATAAATGTTCGCAAACACAAACACTATTACCTCGATTTCAGGGGAGGTGGTGGTGACAGCATCTGCATCCTAGGCAGGTTCCATCCTCATTTGATGCCGTGGTGACGCGGACTACATACTTGTAGGGCAGGCAGGGACTGTAGCTACTCAGGGACTTCCGTGACTTCAAAGCTTCGAAGAAGACCGGCTCGTCTCAAGCATCTGGTACACAGAAGGCGTCAGGTCTGCTTAGGACCTGAATGGCGGAATGTTAGGATTTAACGTCCTAACACCCGGTAACTCTCCCCTACGTCCTCTTGGATCCAATATGGATTCTTTAGGCTTGTGTGTACCACGGCTTCTCATCGGATGGACGTGTTCAAAAAGCGGAATCGGCGTGTTCGAAAAGCGAGTTGGGCGCCATGTCGTCGCAGCAAGAGTGGACCTATGAAATTATTCACTCTGCTGTACGCTCTGCCTAGAGGCTTTATGTATAACGTATGAAGAACCGCTAAGCATTTATCCATTTTACTTCTGGATGTGGATTCTTATTTTACAAGTCCTGATAAAGACTTTCTGTTCAATACATGATATCGCATGACATCGTAGACCATCGTTTGTATATCGAAATAAAACAACTTGTTGAGGTAAAGAAAACTAGCTATAGAGTCTAGAATTGCGGTAGCACGGAGCAGACCCCGACAGGCGACCCCCTAGAGAGTACTATGCTCTAGGTAAAGCCGTGGCCTACAGACTGATCCTCATTCATTCGAAGTGTGCAATTATTTATACACAATCCCCGAGTCTAGGTAGGCAGGGCGATGCGCACACTTGGATAAATAATCTCTATAATGAGTATAATCATAATGTATTATTATGTGATTTTTTTTACTATGTTACTTTCTTTAAAAATATAATTTAAAACATAATTCATTGAGTTAATGATGTGCATTCTTCTTCTGTGTAATTCTTCACCAAACATAATTTTAAAAATTTCACAGAATGTTGGCAAAATAGTGGCTCGGCAGTTGTATGGGATTTCATATTTTTTGCAATCAACTCGGTCACAGCATAACTGGTTTCTTGTACTTTATTTGACACAGATGAAAATTTTTTAAAAGTGGAAGTTTGACAAGAGCCTTTTACAATATTCAATAGGTTTTTCAGTCGCAAATAAATGCCTTGTGAGTAGGCGTCTTTTTAACTTATTCGGCATCGTGGTTTTGTTGGACAGCTGTTCGCTACATATCAAGCATCGAGGTTTAGGCTGTTCACTACTGGATGATGTAAAACCGGACGATGAATAATTTTCCTAATCTTCTTCTTAAGTTCTATCTCTGCGACGAAGGTTGGCAATCATCATGGCTATTCTGACCTTCGAGGCAGCTGCTCTGAACAATTGCCTTGAGCTGACCTTCAATTCCCTTTACATTTACACAATAACTATTGGCAATCCGTTTGTGTTTCGCAGGTTTACATTCCGAAATATTTTTATCATCAGTCAGATGTTCATTGCATTAACTTGAACTGGTACTCGCTCTAGCACTAGGTAATTCACTCCTAATTAGAAATAGATCCATTTTAAAAGCGAGCAGTAGCCTAACTCTGACTACAACATGCAAGAAATTCAATCATACGGGACTTGATAGTTTGACGTTTGACCAACGACTGTCTGTGTGAGATGTGAGTAGAGATGAGCATCGTTAGTTTTACGATCAACAGTAGCGATCAACAGTGACAGTGTGCAACAAAAGTTGCATAAAGGAATATATAAACCATTTTATTTGTTTTTACGAGGTTATGTCCAAGAAATTTTGACATTGTAAAAAAATAATAATATTTTGACATAATTTTAATTCTATTTTCTGTTGTATCGAGTTTAAGACCAACAATGGTGTTGGAAAACATCGATGTTTAGGCTCGATGTTGTATTGCCATCGATGTTTTTCCAACGATGCTCATGAGTATCTTCAAACGCTATAGCCACAAGTGGTAATATGTTGAACTAAAGTACGTCTGCATACGATACTGCTGCTATCGCATTCTGTTGGTCGAGTGTTGAACTATTGAAACAGTGTGCCGCAGCACACTGCTTGGGACCCTCTGATCTAGACAATACGATATTGCACCCAGAAAGAAAAAAATAAGTTTAGCACCTCGTTAAACTGGTGCGAGAACGAGAATCAAATAGACATAAATATACTTTTTAAAGTATATTTATGTCTATTCTATCACTTTTTAAAGTGCGCAGATTGTTAAACCAATTACGGAAACGGAAAGCATCCTAGAAAAAATTGACAATATTTCAGTAAGGGTATTCCCAACATCAAAAGTCAATTTTTTAACTAAAAGTGGAACATATTTTTTCACAATACGAATTGAAAATACATTTTGTAGCGTCGAATCAGGAAATTGTGAATTACTACAGAATATCGGATTTAAACTTTGCGAAGACTAACGAACCTAATTAAATAAAACCAGCTTCAGGATCTTAAAAAAGTAAGTGTCTAGGCACCAAATGTCGAATGATGAATGGTACTTCTAATGAACTGTTTGTCATACTCCCTCAAGTCTGTCACGTTTGCTATCCTTTTAGCAAGTGTTGTAGCTGGAAATTTTAGTGTACTATTTGACTGCGTTTGTTATCATACTCGCTTGTTCTGTTGAATGATCTTTTCTACTGTACGTAAAGATAATCCAGTAACTTCACTCACACGTTGTTTAGTACTGGTTCGATTATTTTCAGAAATTAGTATTTGCATATATTTAAATACATTGAAAACTATTCCTTTGTATTCTGGTGTCAATCTGATCTGTTTACTCGTACTCCAATTAACCATCTCCATTCTACAGAATAGTTTTTAAAACGTGTGGTGGCACTTTTTTTGTTGAGACTCGACAACATAAGAGACTAAATTACGAACTAGTTTGAAATTGACTATTGAACATTGACTAGAAATTCTCGGAAATAATTATGATCAGTTCTTTGTACGACGTTAACGAGTCGTTAAGCAGTCATTAATAACGACTTTATATTTACGGTTTTAAGGTAGCTGATACTAAATTAGAAATTAACTTTTACGAAACTTTATAGAATATCAATTATTAAAGATGGTATTATAACAAACAAAAAGTTTGGTATCTATAAAACAATATGTGTACAATCAAACTCCATTTATTATTTAAGTGAGTAATATTTTTGTAATTAGTGCGATTTCAAATAATTTAATTTGTTTAATATTGCAACGCCACTGCATGGGTCTGATCATAGATATTCTATTGTCTGCGCGATTAACTATTTCGTGGAAGGGCTCGTCAATTGATTTGAAATAAGCAGCACACAGAATAAATATCACAATAAATATACTGTCGTAAAATATATACTATCTAACAAGTAATATAAAGGATAGACATTTTCGTAAATAAATAACAAAATAAAAGTATATCTTTACCTTGATGAAGCTAATTGGTATAGTTTGCTTCGATTTGCTGTAGTGTCGTGCGACTTTATATACCGTCTCAGGGATGTATTCCAAAACCAAATTCAGGTACACCTCGTCTTTCTACAATGAAATTCAATTATTATATAACCTGAAATCATATGAATTTCATATTTAATAGACAACAAAATCAAAACGTCAACCAGGAAACTTTTTTTTCAAAAATATTTTCCAAAGATATCTATAAACTGAAATAATTACTATGATAAAAATTTCTTAATCACTGCTGAGCATCATTATAAATTTTGTAACATGACAGAGAAGTTTAAGAAGTAGATTACGACTAAGATTGATAAAATACGTTAGGCTTTCACGACCATCGTCTAACTTTTTAAACTGTTTGTTCAGGCTGTTAGGCCGTTGCCTTCGGAGATTAGTTCTCGACGTTTTGCCAACACATTGTTGTATTTACATTTTCTACTCGCCTCCCCTCCACTGGTTTCGGCGTGAGAGGGCGTGTCGTCATTTGTAGCATTTTTTTTTTGCGTGTTTATTAAAAGATAAACCTTTTTATTTATCAAATTATCAATTTTTGATTAATATTGCTTAGCTTAAGTGGTTCACAGGACCAAATCTAGGGTTCAAATTAAGGTATTGATTTCAGTTTTTGAAAAATGTTAGTTAATAATAATTTAACTAGAAATATAACACAAACCGGCGAAAAAATGGCGAAATATCCGGAAAACAAGATTCTAAACAGATTTTCGTCTTTTAAATCATCATAACTCCTGTTCTACGTGGTTCATTCGTAGTCCAAATTAAAGGTATTGATGTCAACTGTTGGCTCAAATGATTTTCAAAAGAGTCATCATCATCATCATCCAGCCTCCATTTATCACGTCCACTGCTGAACATAGGCCTCCCTTAAACTCCTCCATTCTTCACGATTTTGTGCTCTTTGTTGCCAATTTTTAATGATACGCCTGATGTCGTCGGCCCAACGTGTAGGTGGTCTTCCTCTACTGCGTTTGTCTGCTCTTGGCCTCCAATTTGTAATTTTGCTCCATCGTGAATCGTGCATTCTCGCTACATGGCCTGCCCAGTTCCATTTTAGTTCCGCTATGCGTTCCACAACATCAGTAATACTCGTCCTTCTTCGCAGATCTTCGTTTCTTATTCGGTCCCTCAACGTCACTCCCAGCATAGACCGTTCCATTCGTCTATGTGCCACTCTCAGTTTCGAAGCCGTGGTCTTGGTTAAAGTCATAGTTTCCGCCCCATAGGTCATGACCGGTAATACGCATTGGTCAAACACTTTTCTTTTGAGGCTGATTGGTATGTTGGCCCTAAGTGTGTCTCGCAGTTTTCCAAAGGCTGCCCATGTTAAAGTAATTCGTCTTTGGATCTCACATGTTTGGTTATCCCTGCTGATTCTTATTTCATGACCCAAATACGTATATTTCTCCACCAGTTCTACCACTTTGTCTTGAATAGTCAAATGGTTATTGGGGACCAAATTTGTCATAAACTTAGTTTTGGTCAAGTTCATTCTCAGGCCCACCTTCGAACATGCAAAATCCAATTCGTTTATCATATCTGTAGCTTCTCCTAAATTATCTGTGATAAGGACAATGTCATCTGCGAAACGGAGATGGTTAAGCTTTTCGCCGTCTATCGTTACTCCTCTGTGGTCCCAATTGATCATCTTAAAGGCATATTCTAATGCCGTTATGAATAATTTCGGCGACAATGTATCTCCTTGCCTTATTTCACGATTTATTTTTATTGGTCGGGTTTTATTGTCTATTTTAACAGTCATAGTGGCATTTTGTAAATATTATAAATAAGCTCACTATACCTATGGTCAATCCTGCTGTCATTCATTGCTTCTATAAGGCTGTCTAATTCGATCATGTCGAACGCTTTATGAAAATCTATGAAAGTGAGAACAAGAGGTTTGTTATATTCTATAGATTTGTCAATGAGTGTTTTTACTGTGTGGAGGTGATCATTGGTACCATAATTTGAGCGGAATCCTGCCTGCTCTCTCGGTTGGTAGAAATCTAATTTTTTCTCCAATCTTGATCTCACTACCCTAGTGAAGAGCTTGTATATGTGGTTCAACAGGCTAATAGGTCTATAATTTTCTAGGTCCTGGTTGATATCTAATGGGGGTGTCCAGATACCATGAAATTTATTTTTAATCATTATATTCCTTTCTCTTTTTATATTGATTTGAACTTTCGCTCGTATCATCCTGTGGTCGCTGTTTGTGGTGAACTTGTTGAGTACTGTTACATCTTTAATTATTTGTTTTTGATCACTTATGATGTAGTCGATTTCGTTCCTTGTTCTACCATTTGGACTTTCCCAAGTCCATCTTCTGTGCATCTTTTTGTGAAAGAAGCTGTTCATGTTGAATAAGTTATTCTGGAGTAGGAATCCTAGTAGCTTTTCTCCTCGATTATTTCTTCCTGGGGAACCGAATTGTCCTAAAGATGTTTCTAGATCTGCTTCTTTTACCCCTATTTTTGCGTTGAAATCGCCACATAAAATTGTGAATTGAGTACAAGAATCATCAAGCGCAGTGGATACATCGTCATAAAACATTTCAATTTCTTCGTCTGTATGGTCTGTTGTTGGAGCGTATACTTGGATAATTTTGAGTTGATACCTACTGTTCAGCTTCAGAATAAGATATGCCACTCTAGATGATATACTTTTGATGTTTATTATCTTGTTCGCGTGATTTTTATTGACAAAGAAACCGATGCTTCCAACTGATGTAGTTTCAGGACCAATCTGATAGAATATATGCCCTGATTTGAGTGTTTTAAAAGTTTCACCTCTCATTCTAACTTCGCTAATACCTATGACATCCCATTTTATTTTATTCATTTCAGTTTCAATTTCAAAAGAGTAGCTTCTCTCTAACTAAAGGTATAACTCAAAAACGGTAAATGCCGGAGAACCGACGACGCAAGGCGGCGCAACGGTTTTAATCTGATTGTTGTCTTTTAAATCATCATAACTCTGATTCTAAGGGTCCAAAGTGGTTCATTTGGAGTCCAAATTAAAGGTATTGATGTCATATATTTATTAAAATACCTTTAAAAGAGTAGCAGATCTGTAACTAAAAATGTAACTGAATAAACAACTAAAAAACTCCAAAAAATTTTAACTGCCTTGTACCCATTTAAAAACTATGGAATACAGTTTTGGTGATCTTACATCATATATATTTTTTTCGCAAAATCTATATTTATTGTTATTTTTTTTATAGGCATTCAAAATTTTCAAACGCTCAAATCAATTTTAATTTCCCGCCAACTCTAATTTTTGTTCAATTATTTTTGTAGTGTAGAAAAAAACTTTAATTAAAAAAAAAGATCTATTTTGGGAAAAAATTAAGTGAAGTATGGCCAAAAAACAATTTTTGACGTTTTATGAAATTTTGAGGTTATGTGTCAATATTTTGTGATAAAATTTGGCGAATTATCATCTTTTGTGATGGCGAAAAATATCCCAAAATTTGCTCTCTTTCCTTGTTGCAGACCTTTCCGTAGTCAATGTTTTTGGCACAGTAACCTGATAATCTTATTGAATTTCGAGTATAAATATGTTGTATTTTTTTTCGGACGTTACTAATATCTATCCTAGGGACTATCACTCAATTTGAATTTAATATGTAACAAAACTTTGTTAAAATCGTTTGTCTGCATTGGTCTACAGAACCAGAATTTTATATTCATTGCGTTGGAATTTTAAAATTACCTATCACTAATAAATGTGCAAGAATGGCAGTAATAATAGATAAAAAAGTCTCTTACCTTATCTCCACTAGAGTAAAAGAAATATTTAAGTTTCACTATATTACAATGTTCTAATTTCCGCATGATTTGTAACTCCCGATTCTGAAACAAAAAAAAACATTTATGTTTAAAATAATTCAGTAAAAAATAATGGAATTTGAAGATATCTGGTTCATTATTTATTTATAGAAGTAACCCCTTAATCCACTTCATTAATATGTCGATATAAAAGTCTTGCAACAGTTTAGAATACACAATTATTATCCTTGTATTCATATTTAACTAAAAATAAATATTTAAATTAAAAATGTCTGTAAAAATTCTTAGGTAAAAATATTCATTTGCTTTTTAAATTTTCAAGTAAATTCTTTACTATTAAAGCTGCTCACGAATGAAATTTCAACAATAATATTTGGAGCGGGGAAGATCTATTTAAGATATTCAGACGATGCAATTATTCTCGCGAACTCTGAGTCAATTACTAGAAAGAATCAAAAAGATGAGCATAAAAGCAGTGGCTCTGAAAGAAATAAACCGCATGATTATTATCTTTCTTTCTATTAAAAGCTAATTTATGTACCTGAATGCATCGTAAAAAATACAGACTATGATAAATAACTATATTGATTAATTGATGGATTCGACCGTTACTTGATGGAAATTCATTTTATGTAACAATAAAACACTGAAAACTTTGTTTTCAAACTTCCACAAAATTTATTTTAACTATTATCACTACAGCTGTTTCGGCTGATAGCCTTTCTCAAGTGATCTATTTTTGGCATGCGTTTACAATTTATAGACTAATGAAATAGGTTGAGGAGGGAGAACTGTTTGTCTCAAGTTGGTCATTCAGAATTATATCTGTGTTTTTTTAATTTATTGATTTCCATAGATTCTAACAAAGATAGCTTAAGGCCTTTATTTTGAACGTGAAGAATCATAATCATTCTTTCAATGACAAATTTAAAATTCTTCACGTTCAAAATAAAGGCCTTAAGCTATCTTTGTTAGAATCTATGGAAATCAATAAATTAAAAAACACAGATATAATTCTGAATGACCAACTTGAGACAAACAGTTCTCCCCTCCTCAACCTATTTCATTAGTCTATAAATTGTAAACGCATGCCAAAAATAGATCACTTGAGAAAGGCTATCAGCCGAAACAGCTGTAGTGATAATAGTTAAAATAAATTTTTGTGGAAGTTTGAAAACAAAGTTTTCAGTGTTTTATTGTTACATATATTGATTAAAGTTTTAAGAATTTATACAACATACGTCAAAATATGACAAATCCTGCCAAAGTCTTCCTGTTTTCCTTATTCATAAAGTGTTGGACATTAAGGCAAGCTAAAATATGATCGTAGATGCTTTTGAGATGTTTTTTTGGAGAATACGAAAAAAAAAACTAAGCCATAAAGATCTTCAACAAGATAATTTTAATATTGTTCTGAAGCTATTTTCTTGTGGCATTGTAAATTAATTACTATTTAACTGGGAATAAGCCACAATTAAAGATAAAAATACGTTTATTGACGTTTCAATTTCCACTTCGGAAATCGTTCTCAAAATACAAACAGTAAATTAAACAAATTCTGTTTTTTGTTACAGAGTGAAAAATTCTTCTAATCATTTAATTTTATCTGACTCATTTATATTGACAATTCAGACATACATTATGCATTTTAAAGTAGACGAGTTTAAAATGATATTGCCAATATTGTTGAGTTGCGCTCCTGGGACGACTTTACTTAACTTATAAGATGGTTCATTCGATTACATGAAATCAACGTTAACTTGAGAATATCCGTCAGAAAAAAATCATAGCATGTAATTCGTCTTTAAAAAGACAAACACATGACATGATGTCAGTAAAATTCTCCTGTTAGTGATTCCATAGTAAATTATGAGGGAAAAAACCAGGAAAAAAACCTCATAATACTATCTCGACAATGTAAGTATTTGTTCGTGAATTTAGTTTACCTTCAACAAACATCAAATTTCTGATTTTATACGTTACGTTATTTAAAAAACATAAATAATGTATCCTCTATATGTTACCGACTTACTAATACTGGTATTTTCTTATTAATAACTTCCTCTTTCAATATTGGTAACCAGATTCTACTACATTCTGCCGTGGAATTTGTGACAAAATTGGCCTCATTTAGCATAATTAGAGCCGCTTCTTTGATTTTTCTTTTTTTACCATCCGTTTCTTTTAGGACTACATTTGAATTATTTATGTTTTTATTATTTATATACATCATTTATGTTGTTTAAATAACGTAACATATAAAATCAGAATTTTGATGTTTGTTGAAGGTAAACTAAATTCACGAACAAATACTTACAATGTCGGGATAGTATTATGAGGTTCCTTTCCTGGTTTTTCCCTCATAATTTACTATGGAATCACTAACAGGAGAATTTTACTGTCATCATGTCATGTGTTTGTCTTTTTAAAGACGAATTACATGCTATGATTTTTTTCTGACGGATATTCTCAAGTTAAAGTTGATTTCATGTAATCGAATGAACTATCTTATAAGTAAAGTCGTCCCACGAGCGCAACTCAACAATATTGGCAATATCATTTTAAAGTCGTCTACTTTAAAATGCATAATGTATGTCTGAATTGTCAATATAAATGAGTCAGATAAAATTAAATTATTAGAAGAATTTTTCACTATGTAACAAAAAACAAAATTTGTTTAATTTGCTGTTTGTATTTTGAGAACGATTTCCGAAGTGGAAATTGAAACGTCAATAAACGTATTTTTATCTTTAATTGTTGCTTATTCCCAGTTAAATAGTAATTAAAGATAATTTTAACCATCGAAAGCCCACACACTTAGTTCATCATCCAGCCTTCTGCGTCCAAATTTGAACACATTTTTTTGACATCGTCTGTCTATCGCATAGATGGTCTATCTATTCTCCTGTTTGTTCTACGACATCTGTGGCGCATGTCCCTTCGTATTATTTGTAAACCGCTGTATGTTATGGCTGTATAATAAACTCGCAAAATGCTAAAGTGTGTGGTGTGGTGCTCGAATCCAGGACAAATAGTAAGAACTACCCCAAATATTAGTTTTAAATAATTAGATATAATTAATTAGTATGATCAATTAAAGTGTTTTATTTCATTTCTTTTTGTATTATTCAGGCAGTACATGCCGGTGGTCCTTCGATTTTCCCTCTAGCACTAGAGCCGCTAAAGAAATATAGGAAAAAAGCTGAAAATTTGACTACACTGGAAAACAGCCCGATGATCCAACATCACTAATGACTAATGAGGCCAGAAATTTAGTGAAACGTCTAAGCAAAACTATTGATATTATTTGCAAGTGATATTATTGCTTTAAATTTATTATCTCTTTATATCTTAATATTGTATAATCGATCGTAACATAGAAATAACTTACCTTAAATCGTTTGTCCTGCAGTACTTTCTTAATCGCTACCAATTCTGAAGTTTCGCACAATTTAGCCTGATAGACCACACCGAAGCTGCCATTGCCGATAACTTTGGTGTCAGTGTATGATACCTCCTGAGGTCTGTCTGGTCCTTGGCCTGGCGTCGCAACTACTGTAGTCACTTTGCTTCCATCCTTACCTACAAAAAATACGAATAAAAGAATTAAATTATCCACATTACAGATACATAATCTCAATTTGCACAATGCAGAACATTTTAATCTAGGTTTGATCAGAATTCATGACTCGTGCACTGCCGAACATTGCACTGAATTAGTGGCAGAACCGTTGAAAATTTTTGGTTTAATGATTGAATCCGACACCATTGGTATCACAACCGACGACGGCGCATCCGTTATGATGAAAGTTGACAAGCTCATGCCTTGCTATCAACAACTGTGCTATGCATATGGAATTCATTTGGCTGTAGTAGACGTGCTGTCTAAAAAGAAACCTCAAAGAGAAGTAGAACAAGCAGCAATAGACGACATTGATGAATATGAAGACGAAAATGAAAATATGGAGGACAGAGATGAATGAAGGATTGACAGTAAAAATCGAACCAATATCGACGAGTCTTGTTGAATTGATTCCCCGTTACAGCGATCTACTCATGAAAATACGAAAAAATTGTTAAAACGTTCAAAAAATCACCTACCAAAGACGACATGTTCTTTCAAAAATATATAAAAGAAGAGAAAGGCAAAGAATTAAGTTTGATTCTTGACTACCCCACCAGGTGGAACAGTTTGCTCAGTATGCTGGAACGTTTTTACAGCCTATAAGTTTGCATCGATAAAGCGTTGATAGACATTGACTCTGCGATAAAATTATCTGCTGACGAGTGATCAATAATCAATGAGTTGATCACCACTCTTCTATTGGTGAAACTGGCTGTAGAAACTCTTTGCAGAAGAGAGTCCACTCTGATAACGGCCGAAACGACCTTGAAATTTGTCTTAGACAAACTAAATAGCCAGGACTCTAGCCTTAGTGCCGAGCTATCGGAAGCACTACGCAACAGAATCGCGAAATGACGCCTCTCTGAAATTACAGGTACATTAGTGTACTTACAAAATCCAAAAAAGAATGACGAAAGACTAAACAATCCTGGTTATTTCACCATGCCGAAAAAGAATGCAATGCGACAAGTGATTGTGGAAATAGTGCAAGAGGACATAATGGAAGTAGAAAATATGCCAGCTAATCCGGAGCCAATGAATTTTACTTTAGAAGAAGAACGAGATTGAACTGAAACGAGAGAGAGAAAACTTTTATAACAAAAAAAACTGGTTCTCAAAAAGATTACGAAAAGAGTTTAAAAAGGAAATGACGTTTATGAGACCGAAGGAGCGAAAGGCGATCATTTGTCCATGACTATTTGATGACCTTAAAACCGACCAGGCCGAAAGGGCTTTCTCCGCAACTGGCTATACGTGCAGATCTGTGCGAAGTAGGTTAGGCGATAAGACGATAGATAAAATATGTTTTTTAAAGTCTCACTTCCAAAAAACTAAATAATTCATGTTTCTGTTGTTTTAGAAATTTAGAATACAGACTGATTTTTATCATGATATCCAAAAAAAAACTCGTCCTCAATAAGCCATGGAAGAAAAGCATATTGCTTAACTTGTGTCGGCTCAAAATTGCCATCAATGAAATTTGCTTGATATGAACTACTCTTACAACAGATAAGTTCATGTGGATAAATTGAGGCGCTCCGTGGACAAACGGCGAATACGCCAAATGGGCATTTTGAGAAAAACGCGATTAAAGTTGAAAAAGTGTTTTCAATTCAATAAGGGCGAATATACACGTCATCAAAATTTTGTAATGCGGTTAGGTAAAAACTATTTTTTTTATAAAAAGTTTTGCTTGTTAAGCAAATAAGATCACCCCATCTAAACCAAAATTATAATTCAGGATATTGAAAAAAGTTTTATTCAAAGGATATGATATGAAAAACATTTTTTAATTAAAAATTGTTCTGTTTACGATAAATCAAAAACTAAAAAAACACAAAACAATAAATTATTAATTCAAGCAAAAATCCATAACATCATCTGACTTTCTCCAGTTAGCGTTGCCAAATTGGTTTGTGATTCTTGGAGAGAGATCAGCTCATCAAAGAAACTCCTATGATGAAGCGGTATGTATGGAAGAAGTGACTTGATGTCTTTTATTTTTTCCTCTGAAAGTTTTATAGGCTGTTGGTATTTAGGAAACAAAACTGCGGCAGATAAATCAAACAAATGGCGTTGATATTCTCCTACTTTTCCTTTCTGCAAAACAACTTGTTCGGACAAAACATTTTGGTACGTTGGTTGTATGGAAAACCCTTGTTTGAACAACTTGGAGTAAAGAAATACTTTACCATCTTTAAAACTAGCAGTTGATTTTCTTTTTGTAATTAACTTCTGAAGAGCAGTGAAATCAAAAAACATTGATGATGTCATTTTTTACTACTTTGAATGGTCTAACCTTCCTTGATGAACGAATTAAGTCAATATAGTGGTCTTCAGAATAAACATCAATATTTCCAAGCCTTAACTCAATGTGACCAAAATCCCTGTCACAAGGTAAATATGAATGTCCAGGAATCATAAAGTAATGTTCTATGAAATCAATTTTAATTCATGAATTTTTTTCAAACAAGCTAAAACAATGTTCATATTTTTGTTCTGGCCGCCACAATTGTCACTAAATAGCACAACTTTTTTTACTTGATGATCCATAGAATCAAAGTAATGGGACAAGCAGCTTGCTATTTCACATGAACCACGACCTCCAGTACTTCCATTCCACATGTACATAACACATTTTCCAGATTTAACATCATGGACTGCAAAATTGTAGGTCCAAAGCTTGCTTTTGTAATACTGTACAGATGTCGTTTAGTTTAGGGGTAGGGAGAGTTTGCTGCAGATCTATACAAATTGCTGAAACTGAGTCTTCATTATTACTTTTATAACTTTTAAGTATTTTTTGAACTGCTTTGGCTCGTCTTAAATGAAGTTCCTTGGCAACTTGTAATTGGTTACGTTGTAAATCATCACAATTTGAAAGTTCCATATCTGTTTTGTCACAAAAATTACAAGTATCCGACTTAGGAGGGTTGAAACCAATATTGAATTTTTTATTAAATGTGTCACGATAGAACCGTGAGCTGACAGGTTCAATTAAAGGGTGATTTTCTGTCATCCACTCACAGTACAGGTCATACAACTTGTTTATGTTTAAGTCTGTGGAAAGGTACTTCGGTAAGGGCTTTTTGCTCTGCTGTAATGGCTTGAACATTTGGGTAAACTATTTACATGTAACATTACAGTTTCTTTCATTTCTACACTTACTTTGTTAACTGGATTTTTATTTCCTCTTCTGTCCAATTCTAGTGCCACTTGTGGATACTTTATTCAAAACAGTTCGAACCCTCTTTTCAGTGACACCATGAATCGCATAGAATGCTTTTCTGCAGACTTTAAATTCATTGCTTTCAAAAAGTACACTGTACTCAATACTACGTAACTTTCGACTAGGTCGATTTTTAATGCGACAACGGTTGACAGAAACAGATTTCACTCTTTTAGATAAGTAAGTGTTTTGTAGGTTATACTCAGATAATTCCCAAAAGTTTTTAAAAAATTATACTAATTTTCTCCAAACCTACTTTCTCAAAACATCCACAGCAACAGGGACTTCCCACAGTCCGCTTAGGCACAAGTTTTCTGTTTTTAATGGTGCTGTATTCTTCACCTGAGTTTCTTTTAACTTTATTCACATTCTTTTGCCACGTGTCTTCAGTTTTCGACCTTTTTCTAGTGTAGCCTTTGTTTTGGTCTTCTGTAAACTCGCTTTCTGACATTGTAGCAGTAAAATTTTAACTTTATTAGTAAAGTAACTCAAACTATTCAAACTAATCAAAATAAAAACTACTTGTTTTGACAAGCAAAACGACACTGTAGCTTAAAACGGTAAAAATAAGACGGAAATCACGGAAATTTTATTCAGAAATTTGGCAAGACAGAAGTGGGAGGGCTAGCTGTTGTACCGACGTAGCGGTGGCGTATTCGCCGTTGTTCCACGGAACATTTACCATACTTTTTAAGATTCATACAGTTTGCTTCCGTTAAGTCAACCTATTATAGTTCTGAATAGAAAGGACGAATAAACCATGTTATGGTGGTACATTGTTCGAATAATGATCAGGCTATCCATTGCATTAAAAAAAAACTGTAACTGGCGTATTCGCCCTTTTTCCTCGGAGCGCCTCAATTCATTCGTGGCAATTCTCAGCCGACACAAGCAAAGCCCTATGTTTCACTTCCACGTCTTACTGAGTACAAGTTTTTTTTAATCTCATAATAATTAGCCATTTTAAGTTAAAGAGAGGTAAGATTGATTGTGAATTGCGACTGATTATACGTGCTTATTTGATTATATACACCCAAGATAATTTTTATTTTGAGTTTTTATTTGATCAGTTTGTATTAAAAAGCTTGAGTAATCAACGAAAAAAAAAAAATATTAAAATCGTATTTTTATTTTGATTCCACATTTTGCTGGATCCGCGCTGGATCCAGCAGGACTGAAAATGCTGCTGGATTGCAATCCCTACTGTCAACACATTCTGTAAACTTCGCCAAAATTTACATTCTGTGAACATTGATGAACACAATCCTTACAAAAAAAAGGGAAAAAGCTTGCACAATATTCTACTAATCAATGTTCAAAACTATACTACACGATAATTTTCCCATGATAACGTTGCAATACCACACTTCTCAACACTCTCCCACAACAATCGATTGTTAAAACTTAGCCCCTATTTTTATTTGAATGATTAAACGCCTTGTTAACCGAGTAGTTTGTAGCAGTAAAGTAATTTATTTTTAAATACTCAGGACTTTTATCTATTTCCCGCATATATAGATGCAAACAATGCAGATAATGACTATTGACAGTTGTTTTCAAAAGCAATTTGCAACACATTTCTTTGTACGATTATTTAGCTATTGGTTATTTTATATTTATTTATTTGTTTAATTACTTTAATTTGTATGCGCTTTATAATTGTGAAAGTATGTTCGACGGTAATTACTAAATGTTTTTTCAACGTCATACGATATTACTGCACATGTC